ATAAAAATAGTATTTTGTCCTGCCACATGATTTATTTTTTTAATGGACTATGTTTGAAATACCATGTCAGAAAATAAGACAAAGGATAAACTCCTTTTCCCTTGCTAATGTGGGTAATAAAGAAAGGTCTTCCTACTGAAAATTCCTAGGCTTGTTTTAGTTTTCTAAAGGATACATCAAATAACAAGCAGTTGAGCGTTCTGTCACGACGTTATGATTTTCACAAGTGAAGTAATCTGTGCCCCACAGTACTAGAACACGTGACCTGTCTGTCGCTCATTCTGCCTTCATGCTTTTGTTGTATTTCATTGGACTTAGTACTGTGTGAAGGGCTATTCTGGAGGGCAGTGTTGACATCCAGTGAGGTAAATATAAAGATAGTATTTTGTCCTACCACATGATTTATTCTTTTAATGGACTGTGTGGCCTGTTATAAAGCATAGTTTGCTACTCTTTATATAGAAGAACTGTTTCTGTTGATTTGGAATTTTGGTAAGTATTCTAGTAGTCAGATTTTAGATATTACTGAAGAAAACGGTTTCTCTGTTAATTTAAGAGTCATTAGTTCTGTGCATGTGTGTTGGAAACCAATAATCAAAGATATTTATAAAGAGATGAGTTGTAAAATATCTTGTCCACAGAATCATGGAATCTTCTAAATATGAGTTTTCTAACTTTGTTTTGGGCAAGAGGGGAAAGGAGATAGCATTTTGAGGTACTTAGTTAGGTGCTAAGTTTTTTGTTTTTTTGTTTTTTGTTTTTTTGTTTTTTTTTTTGCACTGAGTATTTTATTGGGGACTTTAGACTCATCCCGTTTAAAGTTCTGACAGATAAGGTAGCTCAAACTCAGACAAGTTAAGTAACTTCTCAGGTGTCCTGCAGACTAAAAAGGGAAGTGACCAGGATTAGACTCTAGGAGTATCAGGTTCCAAAGTTTATATTTTTCTGTTATACTGAACATTAGTTATCTGCACAAGGTAAGTGGAAGACAAAAGGGATATCTTTGGTGGAATAGAAGTTCAAAAGTATCTCTGGAAGATGGAAGATAAATATGAATGAAATGTGGAGAAATAGTATAGACAGATCTGTGGAAAAGACACATATAACAGCTTCAGGAGAGTTTTTAAATCTTGGAAGCAGTGGTTGTAGGCACTGGAACGGGGACCTGGGACAAATGTTCGACATTTGGTTACTTTGAAACCCCACATCATATGTACATGATAATGGCAACCTCAGAGATACCTGTCTCCTTTAAGGGCACTAATTCTGAGTTTCAGCTGATGGGCTGGTGTCCAGGGTGGACACATTCTGGAGCAGAAGAGGCCCTCACACCCAGAACTAGCTGCTGGTAGGCTCGTCCTGGCAGCATGCTCTGTCCTTGCCCACAGCCACCAGATCTGAGCTGGGATAGCAATTCAGGGTAGATGAGGAGGTTGCAAATTCAGAAAGGAGCACTGAATACAGAATTTCTTTTCTTTCTTTCTTTCTTTCTTTTTTTTTTTTTTTTTGAGGAACTGGCAAGTACTTGTGCTTGCCAGGGAAGTGCTTGTTCTACTGAGCCATCTCTCCAGCTTGAGCACAGAATTTCTGAGTACAGTATTTGAAAAAAGGAATGCACCTAGAGAGAATTGTCAGTCTACCAGTAAAAGAACTAATAATTTAGGGAATAGTTGGTAGAGCCCAAATTAGGATCCAGAGTATAACAAATACATTTATGTATGTTGTAAAAGAGATGAGAAAGAATGTTATGTCTGTAGAAACATCAGTGTTATCTCTAGAAATTAAAATTATGCTCAGTGAAAAAAAAAATTAACTGAGCAGACATAGTGTTGAAGTGGAAATGGCTGAAGTGGAATAGCCCCTCGATGAAGCCAGATAATTCTTTCATAATTTAGCAAAAATTGGGGGCCGGGGAGATGGCCCAGTGGAATAAGTGCTTGCCTGGCAAGCACAGGGGCCTGAGTTCAATCCCTGGTTCTGCCAAAAAACAAATCAAATCATAATTTAGCAAAAATTGGTAAAGGGACAGGAAGTACAGGTACTTCTTGAGCATCTTGAATATATTAGGCACTGTCATTGACACTGATGACAGTGGAATGTCTACGGCCAACCCCCTGCTAGGATGCTTGCCATCCGAGATGGTGCTTGCATCCCTTGTGTCCTAGTGCGGATGAGGTAAAGAACAGGAACCAGGCACAGATTGTGATTGTATATTTGGGTTGGAAACAGGAATGGATAACAAAAATGTGGTATTTTTATACCATGGAGTATTACTCAGCTGTAACGAAAGGTAAACTTAAGGCTTCTATAGGTAAATGGATATAACTAGAGGCTATACTCGTAAGTGAAATAAATCAGACCTACATGTTGTAAACATCGTATTGTCTCCCTAGTGTAAGAACTTGAAAGAATAAATAAAATTGGACAGGTATAATATAGTAAAATGGAAAAAAACAACATAAGGAATAAGCAGTGAAGATGAGGGAAAGAAGAAAAGATAGGAAAAAAGGACGGGGGAAAATCATGTCAGTATATATGCAGGATAGCTGAGATGATTGCACTGTTAATTTCCATCAGCTTTTTGAAAGTAGCAGTTAATATTTAAAATTTTTACTTTGACTAACTTTATATGCTAATATCTGTAATCTGAGCAACTACATTGAGGACAGCAGTGTGCAGCATAGCAACCGCAGTGGAGTACCTTTCATCTTACTCTTTTAAATGCATTGTCTCTAAGGCCGGCCAGATGGCTCAGCGGACTAAAGCACCTGCTCAGGCAGAGCGCATTGGCTGGGGTTTGATCCCTGCATGTTGTGCCACCCCCGCCCCCAGGGCATGCTGAGACAGCGATTGAGACTGGGAGTGCTGGCATGCGCCTATAATCCCAGCGCTTGGGAGGCTGAAAACAGGAGGATCACTATGAGTCTAATCTACATAGTGAGACCCTGTAGACCCTGTATCAAATACCAAAAAAAAAGTATTGTTTCTAATGTCTTACTACTTTCTTTAAAATAAATTTTTAAAAAGGGAAAAAGGATAAGGACAAAAATTAAGGTTTATTGAAAGGAAGAGTTAATGTTTAATTGATCAATCTTGCGTATCTGTATCTGGTAATCTGAGCAACAAACTTGATAACAATACATAACAACTGTTAATTTTCTGTTCTTGCTTTGAAAGTCTGTACCATTTGTATTGTTTTATGGTGCTTTGTTTCTGTCTTCTTGTTGGGTTTGTCTTGTTTGTTTTGGTTCCTCTTTTAAAAAAATTTAAAAAACAAAAAGGTGGGGTGAAGATACATCTTCATCAGAACGGGGTGAGGGGATATGGAGGGCCAAGAAGAGGGACGAGCTTGTCTATTTATCTGAGTCGTCAGAGAAGACCTTACTGAGGAGGTGATTTTGCGCAGAGACCTGGAGGAAGGAGCTCTAGCCCTGCAGGCAGCGGCATTCCGTGTGACCGCCTGAAGCGGCTGGAGGCCGGTGGGGCTGGAACCCACTGAGTGAGGCCGAGGTGGTGGGAGACAGGCCAGAAGGGTGGTGTAAGCGGCCTGTAATCACAGTGTGCGAAGGGCGGCGGGTCGTAAGGCATCTTTCCTCCGATTCCCCGACTCTCACGCGCGTGCTGGCCCGTTTTACGGGCTGCTTGTTTGTGCAGTTGAGCAGATTGTGCCCTTGAAGCTTGTCATGGAGAATGAAGTGTTGCTTCTGTATCTTCTCATGCTTCTGCTGTGTTTCGTCAGAAAGAAGATTAGGTCTTATATCAAGTTTGCGCCAAAAGATGCAGTAGGGCGTATTTTCAGGGACTGTGGTGGTTTTTTGTTTGTTTCATGTATAGCAGTGTACATTTATTCATGTACAAAAGTGTACATTTTTAGGAGCCGGGGAAATGGCTCAGTAAAATAAGTGCTTCCCTGGCAAGTGCAAGGACCTGAGCCCAATCCCTGGTTCCACCAAAAAAAAAAAAAAAAAATTACATTTATTCCGATACAGTCATGACATCTGGTGCATCATCATGACTCCAGACCCTGAATTCCTGCCTAAATTTCTTCCAACTCTATTTTCTGTAGAACCATTGGTCTAATCTCTCATATCCAGCAGTAGAGCTCTTCTTAAATGAATACTTCCTGGGGCCGGTGAGATAGTTCAGCCGACTAAAGCACCTGCTTAAGCAAGCTTAGGCAAGCGCAGGGATGGCAACCACGGTTTGATCTCCAGCACCATGTGCTGCGCCAGCCCTGCCCCCAGGGTGGGAGCGCGCGCGCGCACACACACACACACACATAATAAATGAACGCATCCTGTCCATGTGCCCTGCTCATAGTGTGTCATTGCCACACATGATGTACTGAATTAGGAAGATTCATACTAGACACAGCCACATCTGTTCATGGAGTACGCATGTTATTCGAGCTTTTTGTGTGTGCTCTGGTTGGTCATTTACCGTAAGTCTGGAGTTCATTCACTTACACAAGCATTTACCTTTCACCTAAAGGCACTTGCTTTTACTTATAATTACTTACTTGTAACTTATGTTCTTTCAGCATTAATGTCACTATGATTGATATTTATGTATTTTATAATTCCATGCATCTTTTGTGTGGTGCAGCAGATACACTAAATGCATCTGTCTGCGTGACAGTCAACTGGGACATTATTTGAGTGTTGTGAGTACTTTCTGATTAGGTCTTATTTTTGGGGAAATGTAGGATAGCCTTTGTTTTAGTTTTCTCGGAAAAGAATAATTCTTTTTTTTAATGCTGTAACGTTAACATCATAAAGCTGTTAATTTTAATAGCATTAGCAACAAGACAGAATGTGAATGATTCATATAAATAGATTTTTACTCAAGTCAACAAGTTCTAACAGTTGCCAGTTCTGCTGATAACCCACTACTATTATGGACTATTGGACTATATTGGTTATTTTGCTGAATTCACGTACCTACAATCTTTGGACTGTTTTCAAGTATATAAAGGTCATTTATTTATTTATTTATTTTTAGGACATAGTATTCCTTTATTTTTTACACATTGACAGAAGTTTTTCAGTAAACAATCACTGCAGTGGAAAAGAGCATGAAGATCAGCCTCCAGCCATTGGCAGCTGCCCTGCTCAGGGCCTAGGCTCTTCCTTGCCCAAGTGGTGAGGTGGTGGGGTGTACGTCCCTTCCTTTATTAGCTTATCTCGTTGCTTATTGATGGCACTCATACGTTTCATCATTTTCTGCCGAAGTAAACACTCTACCAAATCATCATATTCTATCTTGCACTCTTTATTCGCCCGGGTAGCACCAATTCCATGTGCACGTTCTAGCCATTCTTTCTCAAAAGCATGGCATCGAGAAGCAATTCTGTAGGGCTGTTCAGAACTTTGGATCGTCATGTGACAATCTAAACTAATGCCCAGTCTTTTCTGCACATCAAAGAAAGGCATGACGTCACACAAAAGTGCCCTTATCTCCTTCGCAGCTCGCCGCTTCAGAACGACAGGTTGTAAAGGTCCTTTAAAGGCTTCTCCAAATGCAGCTTCTCTAAGTGCAGTAGAACACCCATCTCTGATAAAACAAAAAAAGAGGGATAAAAATGAAAACCATTGTATAGTGAAAAAATATGTATGTATATACAAGATAGTTAGGATAGATATATAGCTACTTCCTCTTAGTTCAGTGAGAAGTTTAAGATAGATACATAGCTACTTCCTCTTAGTTCAGTGAGAAGGTTTGTACTAGTAGTGTTTAGAGAAGATATGTCTACATCTTGTCCTCTGAATAACTACTGTGAAGACAACCATATGCAATGTATTAGTTATTGTAACGGTCATAATAACCTGTTTTGAAACTGATTCATTACCATTTTATCTTTTTCTCATTAAAATGAATAAAAGATTTTTAAAAATTAAATAGATTTTTATTTCATGAATTGGTTGATTGCAAAAACTATGCTATCTTCTGGTAATGTAATTGTTCTAACTAAAATGTTCCTTAGGTTTTGATTCTGAAAGTATTGAACTGTCAAAGTTACTGTTTTTTGATCAGTTCTTATTAGATGTTTGTGGGTGTTGGATTTTTATTAGGTTATTAGGAAAGGTTACATTAATTGAAAAGTTGTTCTTAGCAACTTAAATAATATTTTAATAATAGATGTGTTTTTGCTACTTATTGTTAGGACACAATACTGAATACTCACAGTTTAACACAGAAGAAAGTTCTAGTTTGGCTCACAATTTATAGAGGTTTCAGCCCATAAAGGGCTGGCTCCAGGGCATGGCAGAGGGGTCTGGTGGAGGGGAATTCTCATTAGCAAGGCAGGAAGGAAGCAAAGACACATCAAGGAGGAGGGGGAAACAGGCCCTTCAGGCCTGCCCCACTGAGCCCTTCTTCTGACCAGGCTCTACCTGTCAGCGGCACATTTAGCTGCACACTCTTCAGTGGACTCATCCAGGAGTGAGTATCGCACGCCTGGGTCCATGAGCTGTGACCCTTGTGCATCCGTGATCCTGTGGGTCCTTGGGGGACAGCGAACTAGAAACCATAACAATGTGTGTAGAACAGATACAGATTTTGCTGATTTTTGTTTGATAAGTTTGTAGCTTACATAATGAGATATATTGAAACTTCTAAATTCACTGATTTATATTAATGATAATATATATTTTACTTTTTCATTTTACTCTTTAATTTGGCTTTCCGTTTTCTTTTTATTGACCCATTCTCTGAACTAAAACTACAGGTTAAGTTATATACAAATGGTTGGCATGAAAAGAAGGAAAATATGGTTAATTCTAGAAGCTCGTTGTCTGTTTCACAGTTGGGTTAAGGGAATTTATTTTTATTTTATTTTTTTAAAATTTTATTTGTGTGTGTGTGTGTGTGTGTGTGTGTGTGTGTGTATGTGTGTGGCCAGCTCAGCCCACCAGGAGGCAGGGCTGGCTGGCATGTGGTGCTGGGGGATTGAACCGTGGGCCCTGTGCTTTGCTAAGCTTGTTCCAAATAGGTGCTTTAGACCACTGAGCCATCTCACCAGCCCCTGGTTAAGGGAATTTAAAATGGAAATTTGTTAAACTTTCTCAGGTTAACTGTTCAGCAGATTGCTGTTATGTGAAGAGTAATGCAGAGAATGTTTGCTTTCTTACATGATGATGCTGAAAAAAAAAGAAAAGTTTAAAAAATTGATGTTTATTTAACTATTTTATCTTGAATAGATATCATAAACTGGGAACAGGATTTAATCCCAATACATTAGATAAGCAGAAAGAAAGGCAAAAAGGTTTGCCAAAACAGGTCTTTGAATCTGATGAAGCTCCAGATGGCAACAACTACCAGGATGAGCAAGTAATACTTTTATTCTTAAATGACTCTAAAAAGTACTTAAGTGGTTAATTAGTTAAGTAATACAGTCATATTTAATGTTTTGCATGACAGGATGACCTTAAAAGACGTTCAATGTCAATAGATGATACTCCAAGGGGAAGCTGGGCCTGTAGCATCTTTGACTTAAAAAATTCATTGCCTGATGCTTTGCTTCCTAACTTACTTGATCGAACTCCAAATGAAGAAATAGACCGTCAGAATGATGACCAGAGGAAATCGAACCGCCACAAGGAACTCTTTGCTTTGCACCCATCACCAGATGAGGTATAGTAGTCTGCATATAAGGAAGTTACTGATTATTGAGCTAGAGCTTTTGGTACTGTGACTTATGTATAGCAGCGGTGGTGAACTTCCAGCATGTGTGCCGCTGTGGGATTTTGGTGTCATTTAGCACTCTTAAACGGAATGCATGACTGCGAAGTCAGCATGTTGGAAATAAACAGTACATAGCTAAAAATTTCTTAAATGATTCTTAATAACCTCAGTATTGAGCGTACCTATGAACCTGGTGATGTCTGTTTATGGAAAAATAGGTCATTCTTTCCTATGTTTAATTATGAAGACTAATAATACTAGATTAGTAAAGTAAGTTCTTAAAAAGATAAATTGTAAAGTATTAAAATATGGTAATCATACTCAGTTTAGTGTTGCTTCTCCCTCTGTAGGAAGATCCAATAGAACGGCTTAGTGTTCCTGATGTACCCAAGGAACACTTTGGACAAAGACTTCTTGTAAAATGTTTATCACTGAAGTGAGTATCTACTTCTTTTAGTGTGTAATCATATTTTTAGGATAATATTTTGATTACTTGTACAACAAAACCTAAGTAGATTTTATATTTGTATTTTATATTTGTATTTTGAGGCTTATACAACAGAAATTCATTTCTCACGGTCCTTTGGATTCATCTTTTTCTGTATATCATTTTAAATGCTATTCAGCCTTCAGAGTTGTGTATGAAGCTAGCCTTTAGGGGAGTTTTAGTTTAGAAGTAAAGTAACTCTTTGCTTTGGCTGTAATTAGTTTATGAACCTGGAAAAACATACAGTGAAATTGTTTGCTACTATTCTTAATTAGGGACAATAAAAATGAAATATCTTTTGTCCTAAAGAGTTCATTTTATATTTGGTACAATGTAAGCTTTGATGTTTTATTTTTAAAGATTTTAATCCTTTAATAAGTGACTTCTTACATCGTTGAGGAAATTTATCATGTATTTAAATTCTGCTTTATGAAGTGCTTTCCCTTATTTCATGCTCTCTTCAGAGTAATTTTATAAGGTAGATACTGTTTTCTTCATTTGGCAAACGAGGTTACCTGGACTTGAAAGGATTAGCAGAAGTCCGCTGGCATGCTTAATATTACATAGCCAGTAACTGACAACCAAATTATGTGTGTCATTATGCCGTATTAGTATTATAAGTCAGTTATTAGTTCCAACTTCAGAAAAAGATTTAGTTCATACAGCATCTGTGCACCTGTTATAACCTAAATTCATCTTTTAAAATGTGCAGATTGATAGCATGAACTTGTAGTGCTCTGCAGCTCTCCCTGCAGTCTGGTTCTAGAACATACTCCTTGTTGCAGGGAAACCGGTAGCTCTTAGTTTACTTGTGTTGCGTATCAGAACACCACGTATTTTTTATGGCTTATACAACAGAAATTCATTTCTCACAGAAGCTGGAAGTCAAATATGGTTCCAGTGGGTTGGCTTTGGCCGAGGTCTTTTTTCAGATTTAGAAATAATTGCCTTCTCCCTATTTCCTCACATGGTTTTTCTTCCCTGTGTCCATGAAAAAGAGAAGGCTCTGATGTTTCCTCTCTTCTTACAAAGAAACTGATTCAATGGAATTGGGGTCTCACCCTTAGAACTTCATTTAATGGCTCTCACAGGCTATATTCCAAGGACATCTATATTAAGGGTTAGGTGTCTTGTGTAAGAATTTTATGGTGACACAATTCAGTTCATTACCATATCCAGTTACGTCTGCTTTCTTTTCAACTTAACCTGTGGCAAGGACTAATTTGCTTTGTAGTTCTATGAGTGTTAATCCCAGCTCTTGGGAGGCTGTAAACAGGTGGATCACTATGAGTCTGATCTAGTAGTGGTACCCTGAACACCCTGGAGACCCTTCCTAAAATATGAGTGTACCTACCTGGATATGGTATATATGTTTTCCTTAGTATGGCTAAACAGTGTCCCTCTGTGTGCTATATCCCATATTTATTTATACATCGGTTGATGAACATTTTAGGTGTTTCCATTTTTTTTTTTTTTAAGAAAAAACTTTTTATTTTTATTTTTTTTTCTTTTCAAAGTTTTATTTTTTTTTTAAATTTTTTTTTTTTTTTAACATTTATTTAGTGTTTGTGTATGTGTGTGTGTGGCCAGCTCAGCCCACCAGGGGGCGCGGCTGGCTGGCATGTGGTGCTGGGGGATTGAACCGTGGTCCCTGTGCTTTGCTAAGCTTGTTCTAAGTAGGTGCTTTAGACCACTGAGCCATCTCACCAGCCCTCAAAGTTTTATTGATAAACATATAGCAATGAGACAGTTTCAAATCAAATCGAAAGTACAGTTTCAACAAATAATACACTGCATATATTCTTCTTAGTGGTTAATTGCTGTACAGCATGCAGACTTGTCCATTTTTTTTTTTACAAAACTTTTTTTTCCAAAAGAAGCTTTATTGAGCATAAATTCTGATATTAAGCAGTTTATGTAGTATATATCCAGTGTTCAACTCACCTATGAATTTATGTCTGTCCAGTTACTTTTTCTCTGAAAAAGGAGGCCAGGCTTATTGTGGCTCACAGTTTGTAGAGATTTCAGTCTGTAGTTGGTTGGCTCGAAGGCAGGGTGGCAGGACAGAAGAGGCCTGGCAGAGGATGGCTAACTCATTTATGGCAAGGCAGTCAGGAAGAGGAGAGTGCAGCAGGAGAGGACCAGGGAGGCCCAGGCCCCTTGTAATCTACTTCCTCTCCCAGGCTTCGCCTCCTAACACCACACTGAGCTGTGAACTCCCCAGAGGATACAGCCACCTCCCAGAAGCTCCAGCTATCAGTGCATATGGCTTGGGGGGACATCTAGATGTAGACCGTGGCACCCAGTGTACAGTT